GCCCAAAGTCAGAATGCTTGCACAGGAAGGACTGGCAGAAGAATTCCTGGGTCCAACTAGAAAGCTAGAGATCTACAGCCAGAATTCTGGCAAGCACGTTAATGACAGGAATGATAGGATAAGGGTGTTCAAAGCAAGGGGCATACTTTCAGAGGGTTAATGGTAATGTGTCTTCTGCTGTAACGCATTGTGAAAAATTAAATGCACACATCTTTTTTTAAGTCACATGCTGTATAAGCTCTATATTCCATTATATATGTGGCAAATATGTTTCCCCCCTAGGAAATGTGCCATGTTATTAAGATGGACACCCAGAAAAGGTAGAGAAGTTGATCAGCAGCTTTGGGGTTCAATATCTGAAAAGCAGTTTGGGAATGGCCCAGGTCACTAGATCATAATGTTGCTGCAGTTTATCCTGTCAGTGGATGACATTCTTGGGAGCAATATTTACGAGTGGAGAAGCTTACTGTACCATCCTCACTGAACGCAAGTTACTGATGGCAACATGTGAAATCTCCTCCACCCCAGAAGATTGCTCCTCCTCCAGGCAGCTGTGTCCTGCGACAGTGAAAAGGCCACAAACCTACTGCACTAGGAGACCCATGTAACAGCAGTGGCAGGCGTTACAGTAAGTGCAGCTATGGATTTTCCTTTCCCTTAAATGACACACAAATGCTTTTATAAGACTAGCAGAGGAATTAATAAAAATGCAGTGTTGTTCTTTAAATAAAAAGTACCCCTCAGTCCTATTCCTACTGTATGGATGACAAACTTCAAAACCATGGCCCTCCCCAGCTAATCCCCACCAGCTGGGGAGACACAAAGCCTGTTTCTGCCAATGGCTACTGAGAAAGTAATCATTACCTACTAATCCTGGAGGATCTGAATACAATTACATTTTTAATCTGAGGGTTTAGAATGAGAATATAAATGAAAGGCACAGATTCATTTCTATCCAGCTTCCAAAATTACAAGTTTAAATTTCCTTTTGAATTTTGAGGCCCTGCACAACCCAGATACACTCTGATTCCCCCTGCTTAGGACGTGGCAGTTCCAGGTATGGTCCACTCTGCAGAGCCTGACCCGGTCCATCACGTCCTGTATCCTGAGCTGTGTGTTGCACTCCCCTGGTCTAAGCAGCTCGTCAGTCTATCAGCTGCTACTAAAAATGCCTGCAAAGAGGCGACCTGCAAAAGCTGCAGCTCACCACAAATCATAAATGCTGCAGATGAGTGTTACATTAATTGCCCTGAATTGATACATTGTGTACTTGTACTGAAGCAACATACTGTACCCCAGTTAACTTCTTATTATCAACAATTAAAAGTAAAACATTTCTGAAAAACAACTTCCTACCTACTGCAATAGCAGCCTTGTGTGTGCTAGCATTTCTGGAAGTGTTTTTTCATAGAAATGATCAGCAATTCTAGACCAGTGTAACCCAGAAGCCCTGAAAACAATGGACTCTGAAATCCCACTGAGTTCCTCATCTCTGACCTCTCACAACAGCTGTATTTGTTAGTTTCATTTTGCCAAGAAGATAAATAGTAACATAGAGCTTTGCAATCCCCCTTTTGGTAGCAGAAAAATAGCTATTTTCAGTTCTCCGTCCATAGACGTCCCCCCTGCCATGATATATACATCTGTGAATATATGAGCATGTGCCCAGTTTCTAAAAAGTATACTGAGTCCTTTACCAAAATGAAGGTTATTTAGACATTCAGCCAAACTAACAGCAGCTATGTATTTCTGGGATGTCATTGTCTTCAAAAACCAAGCTCAAAATCTTTCCAGATTTTTTTTTTTAAGAATATTGATCCCTTCAGCCAATCCAAAATATCACACTGTTAGCTGTATTAGTCATTAGTGAGGACACAATGTGTTGGAAACCCAAGAGAATTCTACCTCGTAAGTAACTGGCAAATGCAGAAGGGCTCCCCAAAATGGAAGGTAGGGAGTTTAGGTTCCAAGTCAAGGTGGGGAAATAGATTTTCTATCACTTCCAATTTGGTAACCATAACGTATTACTTCCCATGATTATTGTCAAACCATTTTGTTTTGGGGTCACATATCACTTTTGTTGCTTTTATGTGGTTTTGATTTTGTCTTCATTGTTGTTTCATCAGTTTTTTAATTTTTAAAATAAAAAAACAGCTCATTACAAAATATCTCCAAAGGTTCTTATAGTTAAAAGTGAATGTCTTCTCTTTACCAAGTACAAGGTGTTTTATGTGAAAATGCAAGATGACAGGAGAATCTGCAGGGCAAAGCAGGAGCTAGTGCAGGAATTAGCAGTAATCAGGAAGTTCCTGGGATGGTCAAGAGAGAAGGAATTGGTCAAAGGTCAAAGCTAAGTGATGAGAACGCAAAAAAGGCTTTGGAAGATTCACATTCACTGGAAGGGCAGAGGTGTGGGCTCTCCTGCAGGGTCAGATGCAAGGTACCTTGGCCCCCATTGCCACCGCCCAAGTCTGTGCACCTTTCCAAGATTTGGACAGTCCCCCCTCGCCACCAGCCTTACCCACTACCAGGCAGCCATATTTCCCGCTGAATTCATAATCCACCATCTAGCACCCCTAGCAACATGACATTACATACACCTCTGTTTTCAAATGCAAACTTGCCTTACCAGGGTACTTGTTTAATTTTCTAGCCATGCCTTTTCCAAGTGCAATCTACAGGTAGGTCTCCTGCAGCTTTGGGGTAGCAGTTTGAAAAGTAAAGCAATCGGATATTGTCCCTTTAAAATATCATGCAATTAGGTCTTTTGTAATACACACAACATAATGAGATCGCCTTCCAGATTCTAAAGAAATCGCTAGTGCATTTCATCAAAGGCACAATCATGGAAACATCGATTCACCCCTCACCACAAACACCTCCCTCTGATGCTGCAGTTACCTTAATACCAGCACTTTTCACTTTCTCTTGAAGAAAACAGCTCCCTCAATGCATGCACATCAGAGAGCGCTCTAGATGGGAAGAACACACTTTTACATCAATCTCGACTATGCCTGCATCTTCATTTGCTGCTGCATAGCATCACTCTCCTTGACTCGAAACCACCAAATTACCCACCAAATAAAGAAAAACTCCACTGCATCTTAGCTTACTGGAGCTAGGTGTTTTATGCCATCTCTGCAAATGTTATCCTCCTTGCACCATTTATTTAAAAAGAAAAATGACCAGGCACCAGTTAGAAACTGTATGGGCCTGAAGAACATTCAGCCACTTCTAGCAAAAGACATCAACAAGAAAGAGCACCCAAGGCATAACGTATCTGGAAATGTTCGGTGTGATTAAGGAAATCCATCAATACCCGCTGCCACATTTCCAAATATTTTCCCTAAGTGAAAAAGCAACCATCAAGCCAGAAAGAATTCTGAAGGCATTATATCCACAAAGGTACTTCATGAGTGATGCCCCAGAAGTTCTCAGTGGTGTGAGAATGCAGGAAAAAGATCGCCCGGGAAAGATATAAGGAATACCGCATCCGGTTTACCAACCTCTTGGTATGAAAAGTCTGCGGCCTCTAACCTAGCCTTTCTCCGCAAAACAAAATATGGTCTAATAAGAGTTTTGAGCTTTGCCTACATAAATTACCATCCAACTACCTAACAACATCCAACTAATTTACTTTTTCAAGACAGCTTCAGAATTTCTGGCTATACTAAGCACCGAAACTTGCAGACTATCTGACATTTGGCTAAGTCTTTCATACAATATCCACTTGATGCCGTGAAAGAAATCTATTTGCAAAGGCTTTTGCTCTGCAAATGTCATGTGGGTGTCCTCAGGGGATAGCGCTGAGCACCTGGTGCCCACAGTGAGGCCCTGCGAATGAGAGATATAAAGGTTATGTTGAAATTATTGTTTAAAGGTGCTGACATCACATACACACAAAATTCACAATCACATATTTAAATATGTACTGAAAAGCAACTATTTTAGGATTTAGCAGTGCAGAGAGAAGAATCTGTTTCTACCATGGTTATCCTGTGTGTATCTCTATGTGAAACAGTGCTTACATTTATCTGTTCCATTTCACTGATTGATTCCACAACATTATTACATAATAGCTTGGCATCTGGATGAAGATTCTTGAGAATGCAGGAAATAGAATAAAGAATAATCTAGAGCTCCTTTTCTCAAGTATAAATTGATCAAATATAATGGATTCCTTTCCACTGCATGTAAACATTCATCCACTAATTCACCTACCAAATATTTAGAGAAAAAAACCAATGATGGATAGGAGGTGGTGGACTGGGGAAGGGAAATGTTAAGGATACTGCCCCGAGTCTGATTTTGCACCTGGAGGGGTGGAACTAGGGAATATCAGAAGACAGCTACATTGGGGCAAGAGCAGGCATTCATTTTGGGGTTATGTGGAGTCTTCTGAAGCATACAAGAGTCAATGCCAAGTACACAGCTGAGCGCGTAAGTTTAGAGCTTGAAGAGGTTTTACTGATCTATCATATCTTTAATATATTTTTAGAAAATAACAGAAGGAACTTGTGCAAGTCTCTGCATCCATCACTAAACCGAAACCAAAGGTATTTCACTAAATGAAGATTGCACAGTATGAGGGGATACACTCCAGACTTGGAATCCGACAATACGCATTCAGATGTTGGCTCCTCCAGCTGGGCAACTGATGATTTTGAACAAGCGCCTTAGCCTTCTGCGGTTCTGTTTACTGAAGCCGCTACAAATTAGTATGATACCTCTCCTGCTTACCACACGGAGCTGTTTTCAATAGGGTCAAGTGAGTAAAATTTTAAAGAAAGTCATTTTAAATCCATGAAATGATAAAAATGAATTTCCAAAAAAGAAGATATGCTTGCCTGCATGCCAGGGTACTTAAGAATGGAAAGGAAAGTTCATTGCTGAAGACAAAACCTACTTGGTAAGAATGATGAAATGTCATTGGCTTCCATTCCAAATTTCACAAAGTGAGCCCAGGGTGAGAGACACACATAAAAAAGTTACTTGTTCACCTTTTGATCCAAACTGTATGCCAGCACCCAGTCCTCTTGCTTGGGATGAAAGAGTAGGCTCTGGATGTAGAAGGTAAGCCGATACTTTTGATAGGTTGCTCCTTCATCTGAGCTGATCAATATGCTGCTCTCCATCTCAGGATCACTAAGAAGCATGATCTAATGGAGAGAGAGAGGAGAAATATACGCAGAATTAGTAGGACGGAATATAAGAAATTAAACCATAAATATGTAAAGTCATCTGTGTTAGCATAGTATAGCACATAAAGGGGCAGCTAAGCCTCTATATGAAATACAGGCCCTTTGTTCTTTTTCCATTTTTAGTTTTTCATCACTGAATTAAGCTAAACGAGGTGAAGGCTGGGTCTGCATGTGAAAGGAGGCTTTATCTTTGATGTCCATATTTGAAGCGCTGAGAGCATATTGTTATGATGCTCTGTGCCTGAACCTTAGAATGCTCATACCAGCCTCATACCAACTTCCTTCCTCCCCTCTCTCTCCTTACCCCTTAATTCTCATCACAGTTCATTAGCCAAAGGACGGGACAACACCTCCACCTCCCGTATCCCATTCTTTTGTTCATGCCGAATTTTTTTTGGCAATTCTATGATTTCTTTGTACAGATATTTTCCAAAATATGTATTCTCAAATACTTGAACAAATACCAGTGCCAAAAGATAGGTGGTGGACACCAAACCGAGCCAAATAGACAAACATACCCAGAGAAACCTCTGACTACAAAATGAGCAGGCTCACAGCTCAACAGTGTCACCTTGGGAAAGTTGCTTAAAGTCTAGAAGCCTCAGTTTCTCCAATCACGGCTGCCCATGGTGTAGCGTATATTCTTAACAAGAGATGCCTGTGATTCCTGTTGAGACTTCTCCCTCCAACCAGTGCAACCTGGCTTCTATCCACAGTGCTTCGATGACGTCTGTCTCAGTAAGGAATGACTGGCTTTGCAGGCTTCAAGCCCAAATGGATGCTCAGACACACACGCCTCCCCTCAGTGAAACTGTTCACAGTCTGAGCCCCGTGGATCGCTGTTCCTCCAGCAGCACTTCCTCCCGGGGCTTCCATCACCACGTACGCCTGCTTTTCCTTGCTGTTCCTTTTGGATGCTCTAAATTTCTCTGATTTTTCTTTTCATAGGGTCCTTCCGCCACCCTCCACTCTCTATGCTCTCTTTTCACTCAACAAACACCAACTCATGGACTCCTTCCATTCCATATATACATTCATTTGTCCCCATCATCCAGGGGACAGCTTGTCATTAGATCTCCAAATGAGCACCCTCGCACACATGCACACACGCACCTACAAACGCACGCTTCTTAGCTTCAGACTTGACAACTCAGCTACCTCGAAGGTTCTTCTCTTTGGAGAGTCTATGACACCAGAAACACGGGACACCGCAGTGGACTGCCTCCAAGCCCCACTGCTCCCCTGTGCCCTGTGACGTTCCCTCCAGCCGGCCCTGGGAAGCACTGTGCCTGACGTCCATCCTGACTCTGCTCCCTCACCCTCTTCTCAAGGTCATCGGCGTCTCAGCCTGTGCATTTTTCCTAATTCACGCCCATATCAAATCCCTTCTCTCCCCACCTAGTACGCTTGCCTGAGTCCAAATCCGATCATCTGGGTTACTGGAAGACACTCTCTCCTCTGTCACCATGTCATCCCGGCCCACTCAGATCCACTGTGAACATCCTGCGATACGAAACTGATACTGACATCTCCTCCATGAAACCACTCAATGGATCCTCACTGATTTCACTCTTCCAAAATCCTTACACAGCTTGATAAAAAAATCTACCCCCCTCTCAGGTTTCTGGTTTGGGCAGTAGTCCTGGCCTTTGTACTTTATTATCCTACCCTTCTTAGTTTCCTTGAGTTCGTAATGCTTGCTGAGTCACTGATGATCATGTGTTAATTTCCTGTCATTATTTTTCCGGTCTTTGGATATATTGCCACCAATCGTTAGGGCTACTTCTGTCACACGGGCTGAGCCCTGGAGCCCAAAGTACAAACTAAAGTCCAAAACTATTTTTCCCTCCCTATAAAATAAGACTATTAGCTAGCAGGATTTTTAAAATGTTACCTAGAGCATATATTAGGATTATTATAAAGTAAGCTTTAAAACAAATTTAGGTCTTTTAACTGCTAAAATTCATAGCCCTTTCCCTTTTTTTATTCCTTCATGGCTTCCAAGAGAAGCTTACTTTCTTTCTCAAATATTTGCTTTGGCTTCACTGAAATAAGTCATCATCGGTTATCAGCAAATTTGTAAGAAATGGATGCAGTATAATAATTTATTCATTCATGTGTGAACAATCCAGGGGGAAGCTCTTAGGGTTTTCAGAAACGCAGAATAGCCTCCTCCTCCCGTGTACTATGAAGGGAAAAGGGGAATTGGTAGAAGCACCCAGCTGCCCTTGAGGAAACCGCAGGGGAGGCATCTACGGTGGCTGCAGAGACTGCAGAGATACTGAGTCAGAAAGCAGCTTTCCAAAGCAGGCACCCGTGATTCACACTGTATACTGACAGGCTGTGTAGCGGGCAATGAAATCATTTCTCCCCTGGTGCAGAGAAATTAAACTGCTTATTTTATGCAGTTGTAAAGAAACTTCATGCCTATGATTTTAATTAGAAGATAAGACCAACATAATAAATGGACAGTATTTTATATGCCAGGAGTTACAATATACAATAGGGTTACCATTAAATATGGAGCTAATATATTCTCTTCCCCCAGCTGTTTCTTTGTATGTGTATGTATGTGTGTGCATAGACACACTTCCATGCAAAACCACCCCACTCCCTGTACAACCTCCACACAGAAATCTGCACATACACAGACATTGAACACAGAGGCAGGCACACACACAGAAATGAATTTATATGTAATAAGGCATATTGACATTGCATGGCAGTTTTACAGGATGTGTGTCTGTGAGAGCACATTTTTATTGCAACCTTTCTCTGACATTCTCATCAGAAATCCTTTTATATACTCAGATATCACTGGCAATATCTCTATTCAATCCTGCTTTCTGGGAGGAATAAAAAGAAGAGAAGCAGAAACCTACATATTCTGGATTTTTAACCTGCACTCGGTACTTTACCTGATATCCTACAGAAGCCATATATGAACTGCATGAAGTACTGCTCCTTGCATTTTACAGATAAATAAACCGAGGCTCAGGAGGCAAGCAATTGGCCTATTGCTCCACCTCCATAACACACACACATGCACACGCACACGCACATACCACATGAATGCAGGTACACGCATAGGCAGATATTTTTTTAAACTGCCCCTTAGAAATCCACAAGAAAAGGAGCTTCAAGAAAGCCCTTTTCCCCTCTCATTCATTATGTCTCAGCAAGGAGAACTCAAGAATTAAATGATAGGACTCAAAGAGGGAAACTCAATGTTGTCAGTGTTAAAAAAGTAGAGGACCTTAATATTAATACAAATACTGCATAAGACAGTAAATGTTTTGTCACAAGTTAAGCCTTATGTTAAAATGTCTTCTACAGTAATATACCAAATACATACATAAAATCATCTCACACACACTCCAATTTTTACTGTTAAGCAGAGAATTCTACTCAAAAAAACTATAGGGGCAAAACTTACTTCAAGTAAGTGAGTGGAGTAGCTAAGGGAAGGCAAGAGGTGTCGGGGACCGGGCCAGACAGAGATGCACATGTCATTCCTCAAGCTATTTAACATGAGGCTTCTAAAAATGTGCCCAAAATGAACTACAAAGACAAGGCTTGTGACTGTTGGTAGAGTGACCATAGCTCATTTCTAGGAAAATACATGTGGAGTTCATACTTCTCAGTGTGTAACTGTTGACCTATACGTGTATAACCCATGGAAATGGCTATGCAGATGTTTGTGGGTTGTGCATTTGCACAGCTTTGAGAATACGAAGCAGATGGAAATCCCAAAGGAGATCTGTGTTTTGTTTTGTTCTGCTTTTGCTCCATTCACTTGACCCATTGTCCAGCCTGTCCTGACATGAAACGTGCAGTGCAAGGAGAGGAGGCATATTTCACCTACGATTCAGCAGGGTATTAAAGGTACAGGCCCTAGGTACAGATGTCTTGAATCCATATCCTCCATCTGCCCCTGTGAGTGAACAGAGGAAGTTACTCGCTTTCTCCAAGTCTTGTGTCTTACCTCCAGGAGAAAGACACAGCAGTCATACCCCTTGCATAGTGACGTTGAAAGGAGTAAACAGAATCATGACGGACAGGCTGAGCACAGTTTCTGGGCACAACGCTGCTAAGTACAGATTGACCTTTATCTTCAAATCACCCAAGAGGGGAGCACAACTAAAGCCAGAAGAAAGGCCACACAAGCTGGAGACAAAGGGAGGTGGCTGGAGGACTATCTGCCTCCCTCTTGACTCCAATCATTCCTGAGCTTTGCAGATGGAAATCAAAGGGGTGGAGGTGCCATTGAGCAGTTAAAATGCTTCCATCCGGCAACATAAAAGTGTTCTGGAGATCTACTGAGCAGTGTACTTCGCAACACTGTCCGTCCACATGAAAGTCAAGGAACATCTCACGTATGTGTGTGTATGTTAGCTACAATCAAAAAATAACTAAAAAAGGACCATGGAGAAAACACATCTTACATTTTACACCAACTTACCTGTAGTTTGCATTCATGGCCATATCATAAGAAAAACCCTGCATTAGTAAATGTCGAGGGCAGCAGAGTGAGCAGAGCCAGCAGGTCATTGCTGATTTGCTAAGTAGAGTTCCTGCTCTGAATGACCATGCTCAGCTGTTTGCTAGGAGATTCTACACCACGATGGAACAAGATGTGCCACTGCCTTAGGGATGAGGTTCTCACCAGCCTCTGTGGAGTTGGCCACTCGCTGTAATCTGGGTCCCCGACTAGAACCGCACAAGCTCTGGCATTTGCCAACCCTCACGTGGGTAATTCTTTTTGCACACTTCTTTTTGCAGCAAAAAAAAAGATTTTGGTAATTCTTGTAATTCCTTTTGCAGAAAATGCCTGGGGAAGTCAAGTAACAGTGGTCCTAATTTTAATGGCATATTCTAAATTGTAAAGGACACGTAGAAGTTAGGAATCAGGCCATGGCTGAGCTGACTCAGCTTATGTCTTCAAAATCCTATAAGCC